CATTCCTGCATGGCTGAAGTTATTGGCAAATCTCCCATTGATTTCAGCAGTTCATAGAATCATATCTCCTGATAAAATCCTCAGGTTTTATGAATCAATTATGAAATCATTTTTGGACTGCAAACAAAAACAAAATTAATGTTTACCATGGAAAAGTCAGAATCAGACTTCAAACACTCTGCACATTTTTTTTTATTTGAAGAGCGTTGATATAGCTGGAGTTGTTAGTAAATAGATGTTAAATCGTCAACATTTCTGTATAATCAGAACTTCAAAATTTCAGCTGCATTAAAAAAGAAATAAAAATAAATAAATAAATTTAGCTGTCCTTATTGAATGTACCAAACCAGAATGCCATTATGCTACAGGAGCTAAACAATATTCAGCTGAACAGAGGCAGTAATCTGGTGGGGAAAGGGTGTTGCTTGTTTCTTTTTTTGCTACCTATTTCTTTTGGCTAGTTTTGATATTAAGTGTAGCAGCACCCAGAATTGTGATCTCCTTTGCATCATCTTATGTACCATCAGTAGTATGAACTGACTCAGTAAAGGGAGTGTAAAGTATAGATACTTTTTATTTAATGTATATATAAAATAAATAATTGTAATATATTTTTGTTGATTTTTTTCCTGAACTCTGATGTATATTAAAAGAAATAACATTTCAAGCCTCTTGTGCTGAATTTCTAAGGAGACAAATACTTGTTTAGGTTAAACACACCCTTTCCATGGTAAATATACTCTCATCATATGCTTAGGCCTTTCTCATTGCCAAAATCCAGCAGGATGCTGTTGGAGAAGACTCAGCAGGTCCAGGGCATGGATTTGTCTGAGTCTCTGATTTTAAGTGTAATTCTGCTATTGCACACATGAAGATCTTTAAAGTATCAGTCCTCCTTACTCTGCACACTAAAATACCTCACTGAAATTTGAACTGGGAGCCACTCATTTTCTTAAGGCTCTGCTTAGCTATAGGGTTCCAAACCTTCTTTAAATAACAAATAAAATGCTAATTAAGTTGTTGTTTGTTATAAAATACTTTATTAAGAATAATAAGAGTAAGCAAGGTTACAAAAATACCAACTTTATTAACTAATGAAGATGCCGTTAATTACAGATTTGTAATACAAGTTATAACCACAGTGTTCCCTCTTTGTTAGGCATTCAGCTAGTTGTATTTAATGGGAGCATTATTTTCCCCACTTAAATATGAACAAAATACTCTTATCATACACTGAATTCCACAGGCAGCTCCCTGAAGTTAGATTCAATGCAAGAAAATATCATAAATGCCCAAGGGAATGTTTAAAAAAGAACGCTGTAAATTTTAGGGTGAAAAGCCATGTTAGTTCCTGCCAGCAGCCCTAACACTCATAAAACGATCATGCAGCAGTGCACATGAAAAAGGAAGAATAATTTTAAGGAAACAAAGTCAAAGAACCAATCCAATAGGTTTTATAGATGTTTTGCGGGGGTCAGCTCATTTGCAGCCAGCTTTCCGGAAGGATGGGGATAAAGCCTCACCTCCTGTTTCACTTGCTGTGGAGTTGAGAACCTGTGTGCTTTTTGATCTACAAGGATGCACAGCCAGAGGGAAAAGCACTGAGCAATTTTCAGCTCCTGTGTTTTTTGACAATCACATTCACTGATTCCAAGGGACATTTTGCCTGAGTAGACTTTGACCCTCAGGGATATATTTGGACCTCCATCTGAAAAGCTCTACTTCAAGTGTATAGCTCTGTCAAGTATATTGGCATTGCCTGCAGCAAGAGTTTGCAGAATGCCCCAGAGAATTTTAATCTTAAACTAGAGAAGAAGATTTCAGCAATAGCAGCAAAAATCCAGACCAGTACATTCCCAATGAGAGCTACAGTTTCTCTGAGGGTCAAGAGGTTTATGAGAGAAAAAGAGAGAGGGAAGTAGGTTTTAAAGGGAAAAAATATTTTTATTAATAAAAGGAAGAAGTGTCAGCCAGTTCCAATGCCCAAAGAAAATCCATAATTATGTCAAACTAACTTCAGTAGTACAAAATGAACTCTTAGGTTTCAATTCCAAAATTTCGTATCCAGTTATTACACTTTTCAGAGATCAAGTATTATTTGCAGCAAGGAGAATGAAGGTGAAATTCAACATATTTTAAGAATGTTGTCAGATAATAATTTAAGTTCTGTACCCTTGAATTCTAACATGAACAAAATCACATCTAGAAAATAAAGTCCAAATCTCACTGAAGTTAGTAAGAGGTTTTCCAGCAAGTTAGATGGGCACTAGATTATATTCCCTTGTTATTACAGAGAGAAAAATGTTATAACAGTTTAAAAATATCTACAGAGTGTCCTTTCTTAAGAGAATCCTGCAGTTATAACAGTTGCCTGGTACGGTACCATTGGTACCAACAAGAAATATTCACAGGAATAAATGAAGTACAATTTCATTACCACATATTCTTCTTCTTCTCTTCCCTTGCTCTTCAGAGTCTCACGTGCCCTCCATACTAAGATATAGGGAGAACAAGAGCACCTGATAAGCAAGTGCATACAAACATGTTAAGTTCTGGAGCATCAGCTCTGCACAATTTGTTTTACTGAGGTGCTGCCCAGAACAAACAGGTAAAAATCCTTACACATTGTCTAACAAAAAACAGTATTTTTATCATATATATATATAGGCGCGTATATATATATATAAAAATCACAGCCTTCTGCACAGCAGAAGCTTATAACTAAAATATTTTAGGATTCGATTTGTTTAGATAGACATAACAAAATGCCTGCAACTATAATACAGTGAGCACATAATAATTCTTAGAATACAAAGAGTGAACATGGAATTATATATTTTATCCACATTCTACTTGAGATTGAAAACAAAACCCACTTGGAGTTTTTTAAAAGTCTCTCTTAAAAAGTTAATCCTTTCAATAAGATATAGTCGGTATATAATTAGCAAGAATACACACTTCACATACATGTCAATAATTAATTGTAAATGCAAAAGACTAAATCCTGCCCCTTCTAGGCCTGCTAAGTAAGAGAGGCCAAAAGAAGCATAAAGCCTTCGCAGGCAGCCAAAATAGATTGAGACAGACTATCTGCGTAGTATCCACAACCTCAGATCTGCTGTACAGAGAAGTCACATCTTGTCCAAAGAGACTATTTACATCAGGAGGAATTTCAGAAGCTCTGCTTACTGAAAGACTTCATCCTATGTGCCAGGAGAATCTGCTGGATGCTTGACACAAATCTCAGCAAGCCAAGCCACTTAAGCATGGGCTGAAACTCGTCCCAGTTCACCAGGAGATGTAATCATATGTGAGTCCCACTGAAGTCAAAGTGCACTGCTGAAGAAAATAATTTGGTGAGTCAACATGAGGACTGCTTCCCAAGGCAGCTCCCCTGAAGAGGTTGCTTTCTGCCAGGGTACAATTCTACCCTGCGTCTTCTGAATGAAATGTCCTTCTATATGTCTACACCATGATGTTAGCTCAGCAGCTACGCAGTTAGATAGATATGACACACATTCCGTACAATTTGCTACTGGAAACGTTTACAATTACATAGTCACAAGTGAAGTAACAGTGCAGTTACTTATGCAATTACATGTACAGTAGTAAAACTAACAATAGGATATATGTTGTTTAAATTTTCCAGAAATTACAGGGTAATTGGTGCCACCTATAACAATGTTTGCATAATACTTCCAGCCATACAACTAAATGCCTAAAGGAGAACAAGCACTTTCCATAGATGCTTGTTCTCTTTCCCCGTCAACATAAGGGAAAATGATGCTTATACATAGAGGCAGAAAACACAAGCTGCTAAACTGTTGCTGATATTTTCCATTTTACATACAAGGTCAACTCAATCTCTGCAATAATTTTTTTACCCTGAAAGGAATTTAAAAAAGGCTACAATTTCATCCAAATCTAGGTAAGGCTTTATTAAAGATCTTAAGTCTCTGAAAGACTATTAATGTATAAATTATTTTCCCCAGTATTCAGTCTCTCAGCCAGGTGCCAGATTCAACTGTTTTTTTTCCTGTTGTAAATACAGAGTTAATTCCATGAAATAACTAGAATCAACTGAATTTTTAACACTTGTTGGTAAAGAAAGATTTGGGTGCGTTTGATTGAAATTTATTTTAATGGCCAAAGTCTGTCAGTAGCTAATCAGGATTAATTTTTCAAACTGTATTAATTACTTTCCTTAGCATTGTAAATTCACAGATGTTTCTGGGACTAACCTTAAAAAAATGACTGATAGCTTGCTAACCGATCAACTTATGTCTCTCCCCTCATCCAAAACAATTTTTGAGATATCTTTTGGAGACCACATACACACTGAAGGAATCAAGTGCAGTACTAGAGTCTATAAGCACTGTGTAAAAGGAAGTGATATTAACTTCTCTGAGAATTCTGCTTATGGCAGGCTTGTCAAAGTCCATCAATAGTGAAAAGGTGAATTTCTTTTGTTTATTTGTAATGAAATATTGAAATCTTTGAACTCTCATAAGGGGGAAAGAGAAGTATTGTCATATATGCTCTTCTTGACAGATGCATATATCTCTCAGTAGGTCTTTGTCATATATGAAGAGAAATATATGGCTCATAGAAAGAATATGGTGTTTTAAATAAAACTATTATTTGTTTCTTCTTCTAAGATAATCTGAAGAGCAGCATAAAAGAGGTCATATGATCTATTCCTACAAAACCATTTATCATCCAGTAATAATATCTTTGCAAAATTGTTTACCCATTCAAGTATCTTCAGGAGATATGTCACCATACTTGCATATACTGTAAGTCATTACAATATATATAAAAAAACACTGATAGACAAAGACACCAAAACCACACATAAATATTAAAAGAAGCTCAACAAATTTGAGTATCAAGTAGTTTAAAAATTGTTGATCTTTACATTACACATTAATTACATGCTGTCCAAAACAGTTCTTGAAATTGAAGTTGTTGAGTTTTTCAGGGTTTTCTGTAGGTCATCATAATCTTGTGTATCCACCGGGAGTAATATGAGACCCGAACAAAAATCCCAGGACGATTCCGAATGGCACATCCACGGCCAGGAACAATGACACCAACTACTATCTTCAGCCTGTTTTGTTCACAAACCAAGGGACCACCATAATCTCTCTAGGGAAAAAAAAAAATCAAAACACAAAGAATGTCACTTCTCAGAATGCTTCAAGTCACAGCTCCCACCTGTCTTCTACTGTCTGGTTTCTTTTGAGAACGACTGAGCACAATGAACAGGCAATAGAGTTATTCTTGTCATAGGATAAAAACCAATTTCCAGTATTTTTCACAATCAAAACTTATAACAAACTAATGACAAGGTTTACTTTTCACACATGCAAATTAAACTCTCTGACCTATCTTTACATGTGATTCTAGTGACATCAGAATACCAGACCTTACTCTCCTCATTCAGCTACTTGCAAGCAAATTAATTATTTACGTGCATATAAACCAGATGAGCAGAAAGTGAGTTGACTGATAAAAGATCTTTGTTGTGATAACAGGCTTGGCATTAAGAACTACTGACAGAGCCAGTTTAATAAACCTTCTGTCAGTCAATAATTTTGTAAGGACCTAGGTTGAGAATCTATGCGTAACAGGAGGGAAGGGCAGATCCCAAACATAAGAAAAAGTAACATGTCATAGATGGAATACCAAGACATAACTTTTTAAAATACTTTTTTGCATTATTCTGACTGAATGAGACAGCTATGGACCAGTACAGGCATTGAGTGAAAACTTGGAGTATGATCAGCTCAGACTCTGAACACTAAAATACACCCAGTTAAAATCAGATCAAAACGGTAGTTTAGATAATTTAGATAGACTTGGGACTTGAACACAGATACTGCAGTTTTTACACAGGCAAAACATACACTACACTGAATGCAGCAAACTAGCTACAAAATTAGGCAGCAAATGTTCGTATCAGTTAGAGAGACATTGTTTGAAAAAATTAAAGCTGGCAATTAGCATTGTATTCTCTCCGGATCATCAGAGAAACAACAATGCTTGACCTTTATTTGGTTTGGGAATTTTTTTTGCTGACTGACTGCAGATTAGTTCCCACATAGATGTTGAACTATGTCAGTACCATCAGAGTGGCTCATAAAACACTTCGGGAGTGGAGTTTCACCTGCCAATCTGATTTTGTTTCTCTGCCTGTTCACTGCCAAAGAAAGCAGCTTCAAAGGGAACTCAGGGAGCAGGAAACCATGCAATGATTAAGACTGATTGCTAGTATTAATTCAATCCATTTCTTTGTGTTGGGGAAAAAAAGTGCAAACAAGAAAGTGCAAGATCCCCAATAGACTTCCATGCAGATGTTTCGTTTATAAGCCTTGACATGTCTAAGAGCTTATTTATGATTAAATATTTGGTTTTGAAGAAAATAATTTACTATAACAAAATGACCCTGTGTAATATCAGTAATAAATAGGAGAGGCCTCAACCTGATTAAGACTTTGTTTCCCCATGGTTTGGTAGTACCCTTGGGTAGGGAAAATTTCCCTCCTTGCTTAACCTAATCAGTATTAGGAAGACATCTATTCTACTCCAGATATTAAATGCATGATAATACTCACAACTACCACCCTTCTAAAGTCTCTTTCTCATCAGACAGATTTCTACACAAAATATAGTATCTTCCTGTAATAAATGACTTAGAGCATTTCTCACTTGTGTATAAGTTTAACATAGAGACATTAATTATAAAAAAATATATATATGTATCTCTTAGTAAATTGTTTCTGGAAAATAAATAGCCAGGCTGATGGCTCCTAAGAATGTATTAAGAAATGAAGTCTTTACCTCACAAGGCCCAGCACCAATGGTTTCAGCCACAGCACAGATTTCTGAATCATTCACAGTGATCTTCCCTTTGAGATATTGGTTGCATTTCTCATTTCCCAAAATAAACAGGTTTGCTACCCGGAGAAGGCCATCATAGTTCATTGCTAGGATCAAAAAGAGAATGAAAGCTTTACTCTATTGGGGGGGAGATATAATTGAAGATGCAGTCTGCATAAACTTAGCATGTATCTTCAGTCACTGTACTTTCTCTCCAATGCTCACATTTTTGTCTATCCTCAGTGTTACTTATTTATCTTTCGGATTTCTTATATTTGCTACAAGTGACACTTATCTATCCACTTCTCTGAGAATACCTGCAGAATATTTTATTTTTTTTATTAGAAGAAAGGGCTGGCTAACTGAGTTAACTCTAGAGTTCACCACCAGCTTGCACTGTGAAGTCAAAGAAATCAGAAAATGTGAGCCTGAGAATGTTGTCACTCTCATCGGTGGAGTAAGGATTGTGCTCCCTGCCTTAAGCATGAGTTAATGTCTAACAGTGCTTGCCATGGCCTAGGGATGGACGTGTGACTTGAAAAATACTGTAGCAGATCAGAGTTCTTCTCATTCTGTGCTGACTCAGATGCACTGAACAACTTTGTGCCTGCAAGGGCAGAGACACAGCTTTGTGCAATCTCCATTCATCAGTGTGAAGGTCAGGAAGTAGGAGCCCTGTGGAGCTTGCTCTTGTTCTACATGTCGAAAGACAAGTCTGTACAAGCTGTGAAGATAAAGGGCCTGGACCTGCACATTCTCTGCAAAGCCATCAAAAGAAAATGCCAAGCTTCCCCTTCACTGACTTATCCTGTTTTCTTGAAAAAATGGCTGTAACACTTTTTCCTTCCCTGACTAGAATGCTGTGAGGATTATATTAAGTAGTGCATAAAATATAGTACAAAGTCCTTGGATGACAGATGTTATGTATTTACTGTATTACATAACTCCACAACATTGCAAATTCCTTATCAGTTCTCTTAAGCTAAGCTTTCCTATGATGCTGCACCATTCTCCAGCCCCGTTTCCCTGTCCATCAGCCATTCCCCCCAGGAAATGGCTAATATGCCCATGCTAGGGACATCAAAGACAGTCATCTGGGACAGGGCTGGTACAGATTACTTGCCACCCACAAAGAAATGCAGAGTAATGGTTACAAGGAAGAGAGCCTCAGAATTAAAGCCTAGTTTCTGCGCTGTTTCCAGGACAGCATGAGTTTGTTGTTGCTGCTTACTCAGGGTCTGTGGCAAAATGACATCTGAGCACAGTAACTATTAGAGTAATTGTTGTCAACTGGCAGCTATTAACTTTATCATCAGCACATAATTAGGCAGATATAGTATTTACTAGACTAAATAAATGTCTGTTATTTCACATACTTATATTAACTTCACACAAAAACTGTGTTTAATAAACACTAGTAAGGTTGCAAAGTCAAGTATGAAAAAGCTAGGAAATGCCAAAATTAGAGCTCCCTGTGCATTCTTAATTCACTTTATTTTTGTTCGTTAATTGTGTGTTTGATTACGTGATTCTGTACTAGTGTTTTCCATGGAGCACTCTGCTTTGGGATACGGAAAGAAACTGCTCATGTAGATCATAGAATCATAGAATGGTTAAAGTTGGAAAGGACCTTAAAGATCATCAGGTTCCAATATCCCTGCTATGAGCAGGGACACCTTACACTAGACCAGGCTGCACAAAGCCTCATCCAACCTGACCTTGAACACCTCCAGGGAGGGGGCCTCCACAACTTCCCTCGGCAGCTTATTCCAGCACCTTCCTACCCTCATGGTGTAGAATTTCTTCTTGATGTGTAACCTAAATCTCCCCTCTTTCAGTTTAAAACCATTACCCCTTGTCCTATCACTGCCTTCTCTGGCGAAAAGACCCCCCCCCGGGGGAGCTGGAATTTTTAAAGAAAGGGTTAGAACTCTGAAAAAAAAATGTTTTTGTTTTTTTTTTTAAACATGTAGAATAGTATTTTTCTGCAGTTCATTCTTTGAAATGTTTGAATAATTTTGCCTATCATCAAAACAAATGAAAAAAAAAAAAAAGATGGACTCTTCATATTAAATAATTTTAGATAATATGTTCAAGGATTTACAAAATCAGAAAAATTCCACATTAAACCTCATTCTATAGTCAATCGTGTTGGACACCTGTGGCATAAGGCAATGCCAGCAGCCTCACCTATAATGACAAGTAAGCTGTCAAGGTATTCATTTAGTTTTTAAAAATAGGTTCTTACATCCAGTGTATCCCCATCCATAAACACTGCAACTGGTCTTCTCTGGAATGGTACATCCAGAAATGGGCAATCGGATTATTTCTACAAAATTTGTCAATATGGCAGGTCTGAAAAGAGAAAACAAATAATAGATACAATGAATTTTACTTAATCCTCTAAGAAGTATCTTTAAAATTTTGTTAAATCTATTATAACAACACCAATTGAAAACTGTGCCAATTCTTTTCCTTTCTTTTCCATCCTTGAAGAATACGATGGATTCTTCTACCTATTTTTTGTGCTGTAGCTGCTACTGTCAAAAGATTTCTTGAAACACTGTCACCACTTTTATGTCATTTAACTTGGGTTTTCATCTTAAAAGTAAGCAATTATGGCATTTCATTTGAATATATAGTTTTGCTAATATAGAGAAAGTTTGAAAGCTCATATATACACAAAGATCTCAGTTACAATCTGGTGTTTATTTTATAAATTAAAACTATATACTAGTCACAAAAAACCTGCATTTGGCAATCAGGAAAAAAAAATAATGTAGGTACAATTTTTCAGAAGTAACATCTGTTTTCAGAGCAATGTAGATGAACCTGCATTTCTGCATATATCAAGTAAAAGATCTTACAATTAGATCTTTACTCCACAGAGACACGATCAGCAGTATGAGAGATAGTAGAGAACTTTTTTTTTTTTTGCAAAAATATTTAGGAAGATTCTCATTTATTAGTTGAAACTCCTGGAATTGGTAATAATAGCTACTAACCTGCTAAGTTTCAGTAAGACCAAATCTGACCCTGCAGGGCCATATACCAACTGGGAGATATTCAGAACTTGTCTATGCTTCTCCTCTCCCTTTCCTTTGATATTATGGACTCCAAGCCAGGCTTTGTAGTCTTTCAAATCTTTGTACCTAAATAAGGCAAAGTTGGTTAGGATTTTGTTAAGTATATAGTAAAATAACTCAAAAAGCTCTGCTTAATAGGATTGTGCTAGAAGATGTTAAGTAATACTCTTCACCAGAAATGGGTTTATGCTGCCAACTGCTATTCCAAAATCAACATGCTTGGATGTAAGACTTGGTCTGAAGCCACTACATAATTTTGTCTTTAACTATGACTAAAATCTAATTTTTGTTTCCTAATAGTATCCAAACATTTAGATGCTTGGACAGTATGAACCTTTGAACTTTTTGAGATTTGCCCAAGTTTTCTATTTCATTCTGTCCAGTTAAGCAGAAGCGTAAGATTATTTTCATAAAGAGGCAATTGTCTAAGCATTACACTTGGAAAACATATTTATACTTCTAAGTAAAATAGTCAGAGCTCTTTTAGATTAACAACAATAATAACAGACAATACCAAGGTCCCACAGGACTTTTACATCAGAAAAGTAGTGTTAGAGCCAAACAGGAGGGAAAACTGCTCCATTTAAGTTGAAGAAGTGTTGGGCTGATAGGTTCCCAAAAATAGATGTATGTCAATATTGCAAAGCTACAGACTACTGTACCGAGAAGGGAAACACTGCCTTGCTGTTAGAACCCACTCTTCTTTTATCAGAGTTCCTCCACAGATATGCTTATTCCTGGAGGGGGAAAAAAGAAAAGGAGAATTAAAAAAAAAAAAAAAAAAAAAAAAGAAAGAAGTAATCCTGTTAGTTTCTGCACAGTCAAAACCTTTAAAGAGTACTTTTACTCCCCACATATTTTTGCTGCTGAAAGGTGGCTGACTGAGACCCTGCAAAAACGTCTCTGTCCCTTTGCTCTACAGTCTCACTACTTACAGTAGTGACTAGTATGACTTTGGACAGTTTTACACCACTGTGTTTACAGCAGGAGGAAGGAAAAATTGTTACTTTCTTGATTTAGTGTTTCCAATGCTGAATTTATAATAATCGACATCATTAAAAAAAAAAAAAAAAAAGGAAGAAAAAAGAAAAAAAGGCAAGATAATGCCTCATGATATAAACTGGGCTGAAACATTCTAGCAAGTCTCCAAACTGCCACCAGATGTAAACAACATTTGGTCATTATTCATGTAGGTATTATTCAAAGCATTGACCTCGAGGTGGAGAGTTCCTATTTGATTACCAACCCTATGAGATTTCTGTCCCCACATACTTCAGTTGGAAACAATCTGCAACGTATGACATCCTACATGTGATTACAGAAAACCTGCAGCATAATATATCAAATACATTTAAAGCAATTAAGCATGACAGTTCTTTCAAAAATAAAGATGTCTGTGGAATGCAGATTAATTGGCTTCCTTCTTTGTGCCTCCAAAATCACATTTATTTTCTGCAGCTCTTTGGAGAGTGAATAAGAATTGTCAGCAATTTGGGAAAAGCTTAAAATCTCACCATTTATAAATTCAAATCACACAAATGTTCAAAGCTTTGCAAAGAACTGCTGGAAGGAGCCCAGACTCTATATGGAGTTCAAAGACAGCAGATGCTTCCCTTTCTTCTTCTCCTTCTCTCTCCCCTTTTTTTTTTTTTTTAATTGTAGGTTAGTTGAGGAACAAAATATCTAGAAATGTCTGGTCCAAATGCCTGAATTCTTTATAAAATATTGATTCTGCCCAGTTTTATGATTAAAATGTCACAATCAAAAGTATAAATGTGTTCTTGGAAATTATGTGTGCATCATTAACTTTCAAAAGGAATTTACAAGACTGCATCTACTGCTCTAGAAGCTTGACTGGTACACATAGGAAGGGTAAAGCTCTTATTTCAGTGTGGCACAAACCCACAGCTGATTCCATGGAAGAGGTGAAATTCATCCAAATATGCTTATATATACCTGATAAAATCCGGATCAGATATATAACAAATACGTCATTGATTCATTTTACACTTAGTTGCCGAATATGAATCTAAGCTTCTAAGTACCACTAAGTGTGTACCATTCAGATGTGGCAATTCCGTTTTGAGGTGTACAGTTAGTATTTTGCAGAAAGTTCTGAAGTCATTAAGTTTTCCTTTCATATGACATGTATTTGCTTCCTTGGTAACAATACAAAATAAAACTGCATTTTTATGCCCACATGTAATATTCTTAAAAATATATTTTGCTGCTGGAATATTCCAGGAACCCTTTTTTTTCATAAAAGGATCTGCAATCATTTAAACGTTCATCTGCCTAATGGAATTTTGTTGCATAGAACAAAATCCAGGCTCAGCTATTTAAATGTTAGGCACCCAGATGCAATTCACCTTCCTATCTAAAAGTTCTTCAAACATCAAGAATGCTTTCAAAGCAGCACAAAGGTGAATTTTTCTAAAGAGCGATTTTCCTCTGGAAATGTCCTTCTGGACTGTCTGCTAGACTTTCAAAAAGGCCTATCTCTGTCTGGGGCTCATAATATGCAAAGAGTATTGAAGATGAAAAGGACTCCCAGAATTTCTCCAGCAATGTAGAAAATAGAATCTTCTGTTATAAATTAATGATTAACACTTCCAGCTGATGAGTTATGAACCACAGTCATGAGTGAAGGAATCAGTAATTCTGTGTTCTGTCTTTTACACAGTAGCAAAGTAAGGTCTGCCATAACGCAATGCTCATTTCCAGCTGTACATATTAGGGTCTTTTTTTACAGAATTAAAAGGATTTCCTTCTAGCTCCTTTTTTTTTTTTTTTTTTTTTTTTTTTTTTTTAATACATTATACTTTTAATTTTTTTTCAGAAATAAAAAGGTTTCCTTTTTGGCTCTTTTTTTTTTTTTTTTTTTTTTTTTTATTTTTTTAATACAGTATACATTTCAATTGCATGCAATGGTATCAGCAGAAAGCTAAATTTGACAAGGGTATAAAACCTGAATACAACACTTCATAACTAAATGCATTGCTGTTAAAGTGAAAATACTGGTATGAAACTCAAATTTTGTGTAACAGTGTCTAAAATATGTAGTTCAGAGCTGGATGCTAAGCCAGTGTTTTTAAAAGATCTGCAGTAGCTAATCAAAAGAGCAGAACATTCCGAAGGCTTTGCAATCTCATGTGTTAGTGATAATGAATATATAAATAAATAAACAACAAAGGGAATACTATGGAATTGTCTGATGTTCCAGGAATACTGGTTTTCTGTTTTTACAGGATTTAACTGCAGTCTAAAAGTATTCTTATTACTTATTTGGGTCAACATTTTCTGCAGTTACAAACCAATTTTCTAGTAGATGTATTGTCTTTCTAGCCAAAGTGATAGTTACCTGTAGGTCAAACTAACCACCCATCCTTCGTTAGTTTGTGTTGGGATTCCATTTACAACTCTCAAATGTTTTGTTGAGGCACAAGGAATGACAGTATCTGAAAGCAGGTCCAGAGATCACATTTTACTAAAAACAGCTGTAGGAAACCTGTACAGTTGCACATAAGGACCACAAGAAGGTCAATATTTATTACAGATTAACTTTCCTGTGCTAATGAAATGTATTTCTACAGCATCAAAACTACTTTAGTGAATCTGGGTCAGTCTATATAAATATTCATAGGGAATATAAAATACATATATTTAAATAGGTTTATTACGGAGATTTACATAGTTATAAAGCTAACATTGAAAATCATTACCATATCTCACCACTGGCAAGACAGGACAGTGAGAAAAGATAAAGGAGTATAATAAAGCTATTCTACATTTTCTTCTTGTAAAAGCAATTTTTCTCAAGCTGCATGGATTTTCTATCTTTAACTGATTTTACTTCCCAATCAGAAAGAACTGGCTAGTCTTAGAGGATACAATACATGCACTGCACAGTACATAGTCAAACTTACTCACCATCCAAGCTGGTTGTAGTAGGAGTTGTATCACCTTCACCTAGACACATAAAACATCCATAATACAAAATTAAAACAGATCTAAAAAATTAATTAAGTAAGAATAAACAGCAAGTGACATACTGTTAATTTAATAGCTCACGAAGTTTTATTTTCAATTGTTTCTTTTATCCTCTGCAAAAGCAGAATTTGGTAAGGATTAATAAGAAGGCGGAATTTCATTCCAATAGAATGAAATAAGAATTAAACATTTTGCAGCAGGAGTTTCAAGTACCTTTTTCCTTGTCTGAATCCTGTATACATCAGACTGTCTATCTTGTTCAATTTACATGTTTCATTCACACAAGAAAATGCTGAAACATGAAGGTACAGATGTAGCTACTTAAAATTTACACAGGCAAAATGTAAAGTCTCATCTAACTAGATTTCCACCATCAAGGAAATACAGAAATATTAGAAGTATAAAATTATATAAATAGTTAAAATTCCATGCATATGTATAAACCTATGCATATCTGTATGTGCATGTCTATGTATATCTGCATGTAGGTGTGTACACATATAAACAGATATACAGTGCAGCTAGAAGAGAGCAGTTAAAGGCACCAAATAAATACATTTGGGAACTTTGAACATTTTCTCTGTACTGGTTTTGCTGCTTATTAGTACCTGAATGACCTAGTAGTAGTTTAATACTAGTCCACACAAGTTACAATTGTAAAATAGACATATTTAAGCTCTGCAGTTTGATTCCAGAAATTATAATACTTAGCATTGTCATATACCCTACAAACATTTGCTGTGAATATTTCCTTAGAAATTCATAGATCCAGATAATGAGGTCAGAGTTTGTGAAAAGTATTTCCAGTTGTTGTTCTTTATCTACATTGACACAAGTAACCTTTCGCAGTTTGTTTATTGTTCAAATAGTTGTCAAAATATCACCTGAGACTTCCAGTATCACCTCTTAGAGATGTTGTAGTTCAGACTACGAGGAAATGCGGCAGATTGTTGATAGGAAGGAGTGTAACATTATTCTTAACCCCTAGAGATCGCAGACAACCATCCAAAAGCCTGTTTTACCATTTAAATGTTCTTCCAGGACATACAGCCCAGCGATTAACAGATAAAAATTGAAGAGAAAAATCTGAACATAAAAGTGAACTGCACATTTTTCGGCATAAATCTATCATTATCCACTTAATGATTGCTTATTACTAAATTCCCTAGGATTGTTAATTATGTTTATTTAAGCTATTTAGATTTGATAGCTGAACATTCAGCTTTGGAGGAGTGGTGTTCCTAATTCTTGCCAAGGAGTTAAATCATCCCATAAACACCCAAAAGCAAAATCTAGTCTATATAGCATATATACAGTTCAGCCCATACATAGTGAGTTCTCCTAACTTTACAAACAAATGCAGAACACACAAAGAGACTGTGAAGCTTTCAGCACAAAAGACAACTGTCCCTGGGTTTCTTGAGGCCACAGCCAGAATTCTGACCACTAGACAATTCTTTGTCTTTGTCCAGCCCTGATTCAATAGTTAGATCTGTTGGAAAATGTTTGGCCATCTGTAATAGCCCTTTTATGCTCCTGCTGCACAAATAAGCCTTGAAATCTCCAAGCTGGTCAAGGAAAACAACCTCTTGTCCATATATTGCACAAGCAGCTTCTGGCTGTTCCTTCTCAGTCATATACAATTGATTCTTGATAGAATTATATATTTTCTGCTGCCACAAGTGACAACAGAAAGGTACTCATACACATGTGACATCATGGCTTCCCTGGGCCTACACTGCTAACAATGCCTGAGGCAGACCAAGTACTCACATCGAGAAATAGGGCAGTAGTCCCAGGGAACAAGAGGATCATCTGTGTAACACCAGGGACCATGAAAATCATCATCTGGATTGCGGCAATAGTTTTTCTTCAGTTTACTAACATCTGGTTCTCTGAATATTTGTATATGCCTACAGGGAAAAAAATTCAAAGTGCTGAAAAGCTTTATACTATAGCCCATCTTCTCAAAGGTTAAATGTTACTTTGCTCCACACTGTAATATTAGCTGATTGAGAAGTCTACAGGTCAGGGTTTAGAGCTGCCTAAAATCAAAGGGAAGATGAGAGCCAAATATTTGCTGGATCTAGGTCCAAGTTTGCTCTAGTTCAGGAAAGCACAATGTTCACCAGACAGCTGGTAGGTTCCTAGATCTCCCATTCAAGCTAAAATCCCTTGATACTCTGAGGAGGGATCCTTACACTGATTAGAAAAGTGTCTGTATTGTCCTTGGCAAGTCTGCAAGCCTCTCTAGGAGCACAGGCAACTTCTCCATGCTGCATAAGTAAACTAAAAAAGCTGAATTTCAGGTAAAGAAAAGACAAATGTAAGAAAGTCAGCAAAGCTGAGCAATAGGCAAGGAAAGGATGAATAGTTCAGACAAACTGCGGTGACAGAACAGCTAAATTGCAAACCTATACAAAGGCATTTTGAAGGTGAAATGTTAGGGTGACAATAAGTAAGTCAATAAGCAGTGAAAGCTGCTTACTTCTGATTTGTTAGACAGAATCATAGAATCATAGAATGGTTAAGGTTGGAAGGGACCTTAAAGATCATCAGGTTCCAATATCCCTGCTATGAGCAGGGACACCTCACACTAGACCATGTTGCATAAAGCCTCATCCAACCTGGCCTTAAACACATGCACAATCTCCCTCGGCAACCTTCCTAGCCTCACGGTGAAGAATTTCTTCCTTATGTCTAACCTAAATCTCCCCTCTTTCAGTTTAAAACCATTAACCCTTATCCTAGCACTGCCCTCTCTGGTGAACAGCCCCTCCCCAGCTTTCCTGTAGCCCTCTCAGGTACTGAAAGACAGCTATAAGGTCTGCCCAGACTCTTCTCTTCTCAAGGCTGAACAGCCCCAGCTCCCTCTAAGCTGCAGCTGCACTGCTCTTTCAGCTCATAACCAACCATGCACTGCTGTGCAACCATGCACATGCTGCTTCTAGCAATCCCATAGCCAGAGCAACTGTTGAAGTGAGACAGAGAACTCCCTAAGAAAGCTCCTAGGAGGAAAATTTGTGGGACTAAGAGAAGAAAGACTGATCTGTGATCAAGATGGTATGAATGCAATTGCATCAAGCACCTGGTAGCTTCAAGCTGTCTCCTTCAGAGCTAACTGAGCTCTCAGAAGTCATTATCTTAAACCTGCCTCCCTTACACAGACAGCACACTGAAATATGTATGCTGTCTCTGACATTGTGTGAGAAAACCAACACATAGTCCAGTTGATGAGTCTAGATGGTGCCACTGAAACCTGCCTTTTGTAATGCAGCTTCCCCAAAGGCTAACTTACATGCCTTCACCTGACTGACCACCAAGTCAGCAACAGGAAGCAAGGACAGATAAATTCCAGAGGGGAATAGCTAATTTGTCGGGTACTATGACTGTGGCACTAACTCAAGAACAAGTATCATAAGTAGTATAGACATAATCACATCAACTTCAGAAACTAAAGGAAAATTAACTGTTTCCATCTAGGCCACTAATGTGTGTAAGATCTCATACATAGCAAATTTTTTATGAATCTCTGCCTCTGTGCAGTACCTGGAAGTCCTTGTTCTTGTCACTCCTGAGATTTATAAAGCTACTGTTCTGAACCAACAGAGACAATACTGAGGATTCTGGCATGACTGAAAAAGTCTTGACAACTCCTTGAAAACTTCTTTTGTAGCTACTGCTGATTAATTTTTACTTTAAGAAATAAATTAAAGTAACTTGCCATTTTCTCTACTCAACTATGAAGCCAAAATGATGATAAACAACAGAAACTGGAAGTTGTTTTAATGGCATTTGATGTCAGTGTCATCAGATAGTAGTCTCAAGATTAACTTTTAAGCTGCAAGGAACCTTAGGTGGTTTCAAGTCCAACTGCCTGCTTGAAGCAGAATGAGCTATGAAATCAGATTGATGAGATAACCATTTCCTGCTTTATTCCTGCTATTCTCTCATAGAACAAAACTTTCAAGGACAAAGATCTGGTAAACCAGGCCAGTAAGCTAAACACTAAGAAACATCCCAAAGCTTGCAATTAGTGGTCAGCCTGAACAAAGACATGTTGCGTAATATATTAAACACCGAGAGGGGAAAAAAAAACAACAAACAACCAAAAAAACCAAACACAACATTAAAGCTCCAGGGCATAAGGGCCTATTTTAGAATCACTGCAATAGAAAAAGAGATGCCATCTGGAGGCAGCATTTATTCAGGACTCACTGAACCATGTCTTTCTGTTTCATGTGTACACACCTACGTAAGTCTTCAATGTTCTTGTCCCATGTGGAGCAAGTTAGCCCAAATCTTGTCTTGGATAGATTCCCCATGTAACTCTTGCCATTGCCACGATAACAATCTGAATAAGAATGTTGAGACAAAAAGAAGTGGAAGGTGATTGTGAAACACTGAGAAGAAAAGTCTTCCTTTCCATCAGTAACCAAGTATTAAAAGATAAATGTTATACTTAGCAAACACTACACTGTGTAAGCCAGAAAAGTGTTTAAATCGAATTGGAAAGAAAATGGGAGTACTTTTTCAAATTTATATAGTCTCCTGCTTCAGGCTTTCATTCTCAACACAGAAGTCTGACTTAGATAAACTAGGAACATTTTTTCATAAATAGTTCATGGTTAATTTAGAAGAGTCACACAGAATATTTTACAAGTTGTCAGGAGGTGTTTTATACAAAACAAAGCAAAAATGCTGCCTTAATTGTCCCTCTTCAAAAAACAAGCGCTCTTAGCCTCTTTGAAACAACTTACCTTTGTGTTGATTCTGGATACCGGCAACTGTATATAATTCTAGACTTTACTTCTACGTTGGCAAAAATAAAAAATTCAACATGACTTTAATTTTAATGTAATTCAAAAACTTGCTTTTTCACTCCAGCATAAGTCATGTTTGATTCATAAGCTTTTATCACAAGCCTCTGTGAGACTTTTCAAGAGGATCATTTAAAATAATCACTGCTATAAAGGCATCTTTATAAAGCATTTCATTTCATATTCATCAGTATTTTTACTTTTTGATAACTGTTACTTTACAAAAATCAGAGATTGAAAGTCAAAGTTTAGTCCTTTATCAAACTGAGCTCTTGCAACTGCAATTCTTTCAAACTTTAAGAGAAAAAAATTGCTAAAATTTGAAGATGGAGATCTTAATGCACCTTGATGTAGGGTTGTAGGTCTGAGGTTTTAGCCTCATTTTATGCAATGATTGACATCAGTTCTCAAGATTCAATAATACTCCTTAGAGTCATATGCAGACGTCATGGTAAAAATAACATTCGAATTAAAAGTCAGAGAGGACTATAAAGGCAAAGGTAACGGCTTGAAGCTAAGAGGCTAAATGTAAAGTCATGTTTTTTTCAGCTCAACTCCTTTTAGACAAGGGAGTATATGGAAAAAATGAATTTTAAAAATTGCCTTTGGTGGCCTAATACGCAATTATAAAAAGACTGTGAACCAAGGAAATAATCCGACCTCTGGAAAAAGGCCTTTAATACTAAGGGTAACACAGTAGGCCTGATCTCCATTGAATATAAAATGTCACACAGATTCACCTCATCTAAAATCAGATCCAATAATAAATCTTTGCTGCTGGAATCGAAACATGAACTGGGAAGAGTCTCATTTACACCATGATGAATCCCAAGTATGCAAATAAAGCCAAAGTGGAATTACACAGATGTAATACAGATGTGCTGAGACCAGCTTCTCCAGTTTTCAAGCCTGCTTATCTGTCTTTTGGAACGGTGTAGCATTCACTTAAAATCATGTTATCAGCCTTCCCTCTGTTACCTTGTTCACTTGATACGTCGCACTTAGGAATCTGGGAGCAATAACCAATACGGATGTTTGGGTCAGTGGTAAAACACCAGGGTGATTCAGATCCATCTGGATTTCGACAGTAGTTCTCTCTCAAATCCCTATAAAAATAAATACCTTAGCTCACAGCAAGGATAACCTCAAACCACTGATGCATTCTATTGCTTTTTATTATGAATTAGCAGTAATACAGGCTCCTTAAGCTCTGTCTCTCACTGATCAGTGTCAAGTGCAAGGAGATGAGAACCCAGTACGAACACATTATCCAGAAAAATGTAGTAATTGTAAAAAAGAGTATGGTTATGGGAATTCATTTTCAATAGAGCTGTGTTTTGACTCGATATAAGATTTCAATTGAAGATTAACAATATTTTCAAAATAGCTGATTTTTATTCAGGATTCTTAATCAAAATTTGCATGCAAGCTGAAATCGGATACACCTGTAATCTATTACAATGCTTTTAAACACAAACATTACCAAAGCACTTAAAATTCCCTATACTTTGAATAGTTCTGCTAAATTTAGAGAAACAGTCCTGCAGACTGTTGGTGATTCATTTAAGAAACTGAATCTTGGAATATATAAAAAAATGCACGTGGAAATTCTATGCAGCTGTTACCTTTAACGTAAAAGTTAGTCACAAGGGAACATCTTTAAATGTCTCTCGCAGCTTGCATGAAATAGTCAAACTCTTAAATGTAAGTTTTATTTTCCCATTTCCTGACAATTTTTGCCATGTTCTGTGCATCTCCATGTTTCACTGTATTTTTCCATCTGCAGCACTTACTGATAATAAACTATGGAAAGAATGGGCCTAATACTCCAATTCTTACTCATGCAAGTTTTGAACAGTTATACTAGCAGTTCTGTTGATTTTAGTCAAGCTATTGACCTGAATAACCAGTGCACTCTCAAGCATTAACTGAAGCTCAGGTGGAAATTTTTTCTTTACCTTGAAAGATACACACAATTTAATTTCAGCACAAGCCCAGATCAATAGTGATCAATAAAGACATTTAGTAGAAACTAGACCTTAGGGCCATGCTGATCAGCTGGGTTACCTTTAATGCTCAGTGAAAAAAGGACTGAAATAACATGATTAATTGTCTAAAATAAGTAGCTTATTAATGTTCTGAGAGTACATGAGCTGTACAGAAAGGTTAGATAACCAGTGGCTCTTCTGGTAAAAGAAGTCCTATTCATGAATGTAGATTTAGTAATGAGACAGAAAAAGAAAAGAAATGCTGTCAAGTATTGTAAATGTCAAGTATGGCCCTGGTGATTATACTTAGGCAACATTTAGGACATATTAAGTTAAAGTGATCAACTAAACTGAAGAAGTACTTACCTCCATGAAAGAAAAACATTAGTAATGTACCAGCACTACTGGGATTCAGATCCCAGTCTGGTAAACGTCCATTCACTTCTCAATCATTTAAATTGGTGAATACATGCTTGAAGAAAAAGTACATAATAATCTCTATATTTTTACACAAGTTCATCTACGAACTAGTATGTATGATCTTCCCATGTTCGGAAGGTTTTGAGCATCAGCAAGTAGAGTGAATGGATCAGGTCGCAGAGCAGGGACAGGGATCCTACGATCTCCTTCAGTGATACGAATTTCTAAACATTTGAAAACAAAGAGCTCTTTTCCCACTGCAGTAATACCCACATGTCGCTACTCACTTGCACTTGAAGTTCTCAGGAGTGATGTTGTGTTGGTGAGGAAACTGGGAGTCCCACCGCTGGCACTGGATTCCACTCCAGATGGTGTTGACTGTGCCACGGTAACCCTCACCCTGTCCCTGAATGCATGTTGTTGTCTCAGCTGCTGCCTCTGTGCTGTTCACGATGCTTTCATCTGCAGACCCAGAGAAGAAGTGCTGCTTCACTTTCTTAAGACTGAGACTGATTCAGGATGTTTGTCAGGTTTGAACTTTACACTGCAGTTCAAATCTTGGTAATTGAAACACTTGGGTGTACTTGCTAATCTGATCTCTTTTTACAGAATGATTTTCTCCTCTTCACATGCAACATATTGTGAAATCAAAATAGTTGTTAGATCTTATGCTAGTTTATCCACTTGCAGGCAAAGAATCTACAACATTTAAGAACTTTGGTTATTAAGACACCTGGTCTATGCTATACCACTGAAGGTCAGTAGATATTCTTGGTTACACTTTTTAGTTCAGCAAATATTTTCTCCTTCACTTAGTTTTATAAATCTGAGTGAACACCCATGTGCACACTGTTGAACATGTTAATATGTGTTTTCAGGATTAAAATTCAATTGCTTTTCCCCAAATAATTCCCAGAATATTAAGTCAGAGGAAATAAAGAAGCAGATAAAAGAAAGCAAAGAAAAAATAAAAGAAGATAAATCCTATTATAAAGTAATGTGCTAAATCCTCCTTGAAGTCTCTCTTTTTATGCCTCATATAGTTAGAGGGAAAAAGAAAGAAAAAAAGACCAGCTTTTGGAAATCAAAGATCAGTATTCTCTACAGAGAGACAAATGTTTTAAAGACTAACAAATGCATCATACTCAAGATCTTTCACAGATGTTGATATACTCTGCATTCACCATGGTGTGGGTTGTCTTGAACTAAATTCAGAAAAACAGTGGTTTTGAAATGACTCATTCACATAACTTGAAAGTCCCCTTTTTACTTCTTATGCAATTTTCATAATTACAAATTAATGGCACAGAAATTGCATCAGATATATACAAAGTAGTACAAAGCTAAATACACTACAGCAACAGCAACACTTATACAATGTCCCAAAAAGCTCCCAACATATTTTGTGACTGCCCATCTGTTGGCAATTGCTATTGTTCACAAAGCTAATTTTACTAATTACCTTAAAAGTATAAGTTTCCAGCAATAAGTATTTTAATGAAGTTTTGAAATTAGTTTTCTTCAAATTATCCAGTGATTAGAACAATATATATATGCTATCCATACTATAGTTCATTCCTGGTAACTTGAGCCAGTTCCATGAACTTGTAGAGAATATGGATCGTAAGGAAAACAAATGTCGTAACAGATGGGTTAGGCTGATTTGCTGTCTAATCTTCTACATTAAAGATCACTTCTCTGTCAGATGATAACATCAAGTTGTTCAGTTGAATAATACATTTCTCCATGCTGGAGAAAATTTTCCTTTTTCACTTCATCTGGTTGATGTTTTTACATCAGTGTTTCACAGTCAAATTCTGTTTCTGTCCTACCTTCCCAAGACACTTCGGGAAGTTGTCTACAGAGTCACCCTGTTTCAGTGGGATTCTGAATTCTGAGCTTGTTCTAAAGTCAAAAGGATAAGAAGGCTTCTGCAGGCTGAAGATGCATCCTTTTTATTGGATTAATTGAACAGGCTTGCAGCTAGAAACTACAATTTTTAATCATTATTATTCACTTTTTAAAATAACTAGACAACAAAAAAACAAATTTGTACATCTAATAGAAATACAGAGCTGCATATTTCAGTTTGGAGATTGGAATTGTATTCTAAAATAGCTCCTAACTTAGACTGAAGATTGCTGTGCCACATTCAAATACATATTAGTATTTTCAAAAAATATATGCAATGCTTTTATTAAAAATGAAAGAGATGTGGTGTATAGGTTGGAAAAAAATATAAAGTTACCTACTATTATAAATTTGAGCATACATATGGCATTCTGGCTGCATAATATTTCCTAAGTAAATAAATAAACAACTATATAGCTGTAGCAAACAGTCTTCTTAAATAATAATAATCACGCATAAAAAATCATCAAGCTATTACAAAGAATTTATTTATACATAAGGAGTTACTATATAAACTGTAATGAACTATGTAGTACATTTATCCTGCACTCAGTCATACTGTAATTAGGTTGGTGTTTATGCTGTGTGTGTGTGTTTATTTTTCTTTTAATTACATACCTGAAATGAAATAACTAATGCAACCATTGATTTAAGAAAGCTCATTTTTAATTGATACATTTTAATGTAACTATTTTTAATTAATAAAACAATTATATAATTTGAAAATGTCCACAGAATCTTCCACAGACTGCCCTACAAATGTCTATTTCCCAAACATGACAGTTGAGTGTCCAAAACATTTCTGAAATTTTGAAATTCTGAGGGCTTGTGCCCTCAGAAACAACCTCTCCCATTCTGGCTCTTGAGCCTTAAAGAAATCTCAAAAATTATGAAAAAAGGCTCAAGACATCCTTAATTCAGCTGGTGATTTCCACGATCAGGAAGGGAACACTCCCTGTTCACGTTAATGAAAGGTGGGCTGGGACATGCAAAAAGCTTGAGATGCTCTGCAGACCATGAGGCAGTTTTCAGACTTTAAGAAGTGTCCCCTTTGTCCAAGCCTAGATCTTAAATAGTTGTCTCTATTCAGTACTGGTCTTGTTGATTCTTATTATGCAGGCTGGTACTTTAATTTCATATTAGAAGTACCCTTTTTTTTTTTTTTTTTTAAAATTCCAGTTCAGGTTTTAAAGTTCTCAACCGAGACAATAGTACTGTTAAAGGAAGATCAGGGAAAAAAAAGTCATCTTACATAAAACTATTATTTATAATTTATTAATTAAATATCACTTCTTACTCCTGTATGAAACTTAATTATGAACAGAAGAATTTGGTAATTGTCTAGCAGTATTTTGTGACTTTTGGACTTTGTTGTAATATTCTGTGTGTTCTGGATGACTCAAATTAACCATGCAATTTAGAGAGCTACAGGATTTCCTGTTAGTAGCACTCACATCTTCACATGTTCACTCTGAAGTCCCCAACCAAAGTGCAATCCTGCAAAGGTTTCCTTTTTTCATAAACCCCTCTCTATTTTGATACTTCAAAATACATAACCTTATTAGTAAAGGCTAGTTCATGTATTCATGGATGCTTAAGTAAAAAGATGAAACATTACCCAGAGTTTCATGTGTAAAGCCACAGTCTTCTTAGTTCTGGTTCTCACAGTAATGCCAGCATGAGGGAGTCAGCAGGGGCCTTGAGTCATTCTACAGCTAAGTAACCAGTTGAAGTACTATTTCTGTCTTTAATCCCAATGACCCAGAACAAAATTCAGCAAAAAATTTAGGTCAATGGTGAAACTCATACTGACTTAAAAGGAGGTAGAGATTTTGCTGGAGTATTCGTGTTCTTTCATGGTAATACTATCTATGTATTTCACAAATAAATAAATAAATAAATACATAGTTGGAAGAGAAGCACAGTCCTGAATTACTTAATCAGGAAAATTCCTACTTTTCCTTCTATCGCTGCAACCTCTTTCCTAATCTGTCAGCCAACAAAAGGAAAATGTGACTTGATTTGTAAACTAAATATTTTTAAAAGTAGATTTCAAAAGATGAATGGTGCCTAACCCAGTAAAGAAGTGTTCTAAAGACAGCAAGGTCTTCAGTACAGTTCTGCAAATGTCAGTAAGAAACCTGAGTGAGCTTATGAGAAGCTGCTCATGCTCAGTTACACTGCCCCCAAACATTCCTACCTCAAGGAATACAATCTACAGTTCTGGATAGTATGATAGGGGCAGAAACTTTCTTTCTATGTTTCCTTCAATCGACTATCTAAAAGTACATGAAGCATGAGAGGGAAAAAACCAAACAAACACAACCATAAATCATAAACAAAAACAAGCAACCCAAACCACCGCTGATTGCTAGTGTTTATTTTTTTTCATCAAAAACATATGAGAAAGTGAAGGAATAACATAGATCCAACCTCAAGAATCACAGTACTGAAAATATGTTTGTCACCTGAAACCTGCACACCTGCTGTTCATTTGTCCTTGAGTGCAGAGGGATCTTTCAGCATAGTTCCAATATCTACAAGTAGGCTTCAAAGCCAAACATTGTTCAGCTTAAATCCATTTAAATAACAAAAAAAATTAAAAATCTGGATCTCTCCAGATTAAAAATTAAAAATCCAGATCTCAGAACTGTTAAGTCTCACTGTTAAACCTATCACAGAAATTATGAAAAGGATCTGAGATTCTTTGAGGAAATATAGATTAGGCCATTGCATACATAATAATGCTTGAACCTCTGTGATGCCTCTGTGTAAAGTGAGACGGAAGGTAACGCTTCATATCAACAACTGAACATCAGTCACTTTTCACTGCCTCCTTTCCATAAACATCTTTATCTTACATAAATATTAAGCTTAAACTGAGTGGTACTTTTATTTGTTTACATTCTATGATTCAACAAATAACTCTTTAATGAGAACTTCACATTCAAACGGGAAGTTGAAATCTCTGCTTCTAAACAATGAACAATCCTATATATGGTGCCTCTGCCTTCTCAAAAGTTGTAGGCTCTCTGCAATGGTTAATTTTTAGCTCTACAGCTCATCCACAGAAGTGCTGCGGTCCTTTTGTCTTTTGTTTTTTGTTTTTTTTTAAAGAGAGTATTAGATCCCCACTCCTGTCTTCCCTGTAGACTGTATCATCCTTCATACTAAAGTAACAGTCATTTTCTTTTTTTTAAATTTGCTGTCACTGCTTCCATTTCTTCATTTCATCCTACACGTCTTTATTGCTGTTATAGTTGTCCTTTTATCCTCTCTTCTAACTAAAAATTGTCTTAAGCCAAAACCACAGACACATATGTGAGCAACTTCAAACCAATCCTGGGGTCCCTGAAGTCTTAATACAGATCCAATTTTTGCAGTTTGAGCCATCTCTAATCCCTAATTGCTCCTGTCATCTCTTTCTCACAGCCCTGGCTGTAAGCCACAATGTTTTATGCTGCCTTCTGTGCTTGGAAATAAAGTTACAATGCCCTCCTGTCTCTTCAGTCTTAAAAACATATTTATTTTCTGAATGCTTCCTTCCACTG